GCTTCACCCCCCCGCCCGGCAGCACCATGACCCCCCCGCCCGCCGGGCCCAACCCCTATGCCCGCAGCCGGCCTCCCTTCCCCCAGGGCTACACCCAGCCTGGACCTGGCTACCGGTAAGGAGGTGCTGCCCCGCCCGTGCCACCCGCACCAACGATTCCATCCCAACAGACTCCAGGATTTTTAACTGAGATTCCAAAACTGTAATGAGGCAGAACTATAGCTGTTAATTAAATTCCGCAGGGGGGAGAGGAAAGACCAAACAGATCTTTCCTGCTTTCAATTGTATCCGCTTCCTAGTTTAATTTGGGGCTGGGTTGTTTTTGGGAAACACTACCTAAATGTCTGTAAAGTGATTGTATCCTTCGAACAAGGCAAGCCAGAATGTCAAAGATGCTAGTTGGAAGTTTAGCCCATTTATCAGGCTTGTTTTTACTAATACCATGATGTACTAAGTTAGATTCATTCTGGAGGTAAAACTAGGTATGATGTGTTATAAATTGTAATGCTCACATGGAAAACTAATAAAAACCCTGAATCTACTATTTGAGTCATCTTTGGTTTAGAATTTACGTAATACTGAAGAAGAAAATAGTTAAATGACAAGTGTGCATGCTGGGTGTGCAGATACTGAGGTTAAGATCAGTGGTGCTTGCATTGGTAGGAGAAGAGACATTTTTAGGTATGTAAATGGAGGAGTGTTGCAAATTGTGATTGCTTTTGCAGAGGCTGTGCAGCAGCAGATGGTTTTGCACTGTCTACTGTTATTAACTGCCAAGTAACCCACTTACCAAATGAATAAGAACCAAAATATAAAATCTTAGAGCCCCTTACAAATTTTACTTTAACAAGGGCAGGGGGAGAATTGTTTTATTACTTGAAAATTTAAGCAAAAATGTACATTTAAAAAAGGACTCTTAAAAAGGAACAAGTTTCCACAGGTTCTCTGCCACCCAGAAAAACTTGGGAGTGCAGTTCTAGTGGCTCAATTTTGAGCCAAGAAAAAGCAGATCCAGAGCTTTAAGAAATTCAATGGACTATATAACAGGGGAGGGCAAAACATTCTCACAGTTAATATTTTCCATCTTACGGATTCTAGGAATACATAAAACTAAGTAGGGAATTAAAGCGAACTGGGCCAAGCCTGAACTCTAATCAAGACAAATTAGAAAATGAAGTGAGTGCAAATATTCCTACCTTCAGCATCCTTACATGGTGCTGCTCCACATCAGCTGTGCTGTCCCGCGAGCCACAGCTGTCACTGCTGCTTGGGCTTGTGTCAGACCCAATGCATCAAGTGTTCATTGCACTAGATAACCTGTCCCTCTTTCACAAACTACTTCCTAAAATAATAGCATTTGCTGAGAAACTTAACCTTTTTTCATGTAAAACACTAAGAAAAACACTTGATTTAAAAATATTTTATTAGGAGTACAGTGTACCTGCAATGTACTTTATAAGGCATTTTCTATTTCTACTATATATATATATGGGTGTTCCTGTCCATATTTTTTTTCAATATAATAGTAATGTAATGAATAACACCTTTAAAAAAAACTACATCTCTTTATTTAGTTCATAGATGTTCAAGCAGTACAACAAGTAGCTTTGAGGGAGATTTTAATGAAAATTACTGTAAAGCAGTTTTAAAGTTCAGTTACCACTATTTCCCCTTTGTCCCCAGTGAACAATGTTTCAAATCACCGTTTTTAAAAGTAAGCCTGGTTATGCTGTTATAACTAGCCTATTCTTTGCTATTTCATGTATCTTTTCAAGTTCTCCTGCACTGTATGTACATTTGGCTTTTGAGCCAGTAAATCTCCTTCTCTAAAAATGACATTTTCATGAAAACCCACAGCCATGGAGGCCAGTTTTTTTGGGTTTTTTTTGGCTTTTTTTTTTTTTGTTCCGTGTATGTACATACCTATTTGCTTTAACTGAGGGAAACCAAGCCCACCAGCCAACCCCTGCCCAGCTCTGGGGCGGTGGCTCTAACTGTGCAGCAACAGGCGGAACATGCGGTTTTGATGGAGCTGAAGCATTTGAAAACAAACATGTTAAAAAATAACCAACCCACTGACCTGGTAGTTTAAAGCTGCATGTATTGCAACTGACGTCAGTGTTTTTGGCAGGAGTATAAACTGTTTGTACATGTAAGGAGAAAGCGCTTCAAGTTTACTGGTGGCAGCATATTCAAAATCCTAGGGGTTTTTTTCTATAATTTATGAGTGGGGAGACACTACAGACCTATCTGGACAGGTAGCTTATGGCATGTTACAAGAAAACCAGTGAATATTTAAAAACTAACACACATTTCATTCCACAACCAACTCTGCCATAACTGTGCCTTAAACATTTATTACAACATTGTGATAAATAATATACACACCCTATCTTTTAAAATACCACATAAACCATACCTTAAGAATAGGGAGCCAGCTTCCCTATACATTATCCTACAACATGTCCCTAGCCTTTTTGGGATTTTTTATTTTTAATCTAGAATTTGTAAAACTGGATAACTACAGTAAGCAGCCTATGCTATTACACAATTAATGCAGTATTGGCATTAGACTTGGATAAACCCTTGCACATTGGCAACCTTACATAAGTGCCAGGTGTGCCATAAACATTTCCATCTCTCAGCCTGCCTTTGGCAGTCGGTGGGGGTGGTAAGTGCTGGGCCTTCTCACTAAGATGATGCGGCATCTACCATTTCCCAGGTATTGATGTTCCACACTCATACCAGCGAACGTAGTTGATTTGAGTCTCCCCTCCTATTTTTCCAAATTTGACAGGTTCTTGACGAACTGCTCTGAAAAATCCTGGAACAGAAAACAAGAGCTGTGTTTGCACACCTTCCTTTGTTTTCTCCGTGAAGTCTGAACACAATTCAGTTAATGGCTAAGCTAGTCCCTAAGCTGTGACTCCACTGCTCACAGTCTTGCTGCCCTGCCACTGATGAGCACCCTGAACCAGCTGCCATTTGCCCTCCCAAGTCAAACAAAAACAAGCTCTTGGGATTGCTGCAGCCCAAAGCCAGGGAGGTGCATCCTCCCTCCCCTCCAGACTTGTGTTCCCAGCATGCACCCAGGAAGAGTGCCAGCTGGTCCACACCACTGCCCTCCTCCCCGCCTCTGGCTGCTGCTGGGATCTTCTCTAAACAGGAGGCTGTTCCTCCTTGCAAAGTTACGATGGTGAAATAGTCCTCACTGCAGCAGCCTGAACACTGCAGGGAACCTAAATAAACCTTGACAGTTAGGGGTTTTTCATGCTGTTGTCCCATCTTCAAGCAAAAGATCCAACCTCCTGCATTAGCTCTGTTCTGTGTGACAACATGCATGCTTCCCATTCAAACCATTAAGTTAGAAACTGAGGGCAGCAACTAGTGCCGAGTACACTCTGCTCATCCTAAGTTTGTGTGGCTAAAGTGTGCATGTGTAGCTGTGTGTATGCATAGAATCAAAGAAGTGTGGCATGGTTTGGGTTGGAAGGGATCTTAAAGAGCATCTAGATCCAAGCTCCCCTGTATGGGCAGGGACACCTGCTGCTACAGCACGTGTGCACACGAAGTGCTGCTCTGCAACTGATGCACAACAGCAGTCAAGAGGCTCTCCCTGCTCTTCAGGTCAACTGTATGTAGATAAATGTGCTGCTGCCAGGGAGGAACTGAGCAACAATGGGCAATCCTTCCTCTGTTTTGTTCATTTACTAGAAATACAAGCAGAAGAGGTGTGTGTATTTGTGTGTGGGAGCATTGGTCCATTGTTTTGTTGTCTTTTTTTTGTTGGTTTTGCTTTGTTTTGTTTTCCTAAAAATGAATGTAGCTCATTAATCCACTGCAGTTGCTGAAAACAAATTTGTTTTAAGTGTCTTTTAAGCTGGGGTAGTGAGCTTTTTAAATAGAAGGGTTTTATTTTGGGGCTTGGTGTTTTTGGTGTTTGTTTTTTGTGCGTGTGTGTGTTTTGTTTTTGTGTTTGTTTGTTTGTTTTTGTTTTTGTTTTAATTTAAAAAAAATCTGAAAGGTCATCTGTCCTGGCAATGCCAAATTGGATTCAGACAGTCCTTCATATAAACAAAATACCTTTACAAATGGGCAATACTGACTGGGAAAGGATACGCAAAGCCCTCTTTGAAAAAAACAAACAAACCCAAAAATCCAAATAAGGAACACCTTTCACATTGTTCACCTACTGTGTTTTCTGAAAAGCTGGTGGAAGATTTAGGTGCTTCACTTTAATCTCCCACACCTACCTCGTTGCATTTCTGTACTTTTGTCAGTATTTTATAAATGGAGCACTACATAAGGGAAGGTTTGGTCAACACACTGATGCTGTACTGAAAACTGTTTTGATAGTTTTCTCAGCAAAAGACTCCATGACACACTAAGCATGGGCATGTGTGTCAATACAGCCTGCCCTCTTACTCCCCAGGGGAATGGAATACCTCACCCTGGCACTGCTGCTAACAAGCAAGGCAGGAGTTCAGCTGACAGAAATACTATTTTCTTTCACTCGAGCCTCAGCAATGTGTGTGAAACAGCCAGGTCACAGCTGCATTTAGGACATCCAGTCCCATGCCCACTTAGATCAGACTGGAATTCTAAGCACCCGGTTCAAATTAGTGCACACAGAATTACTGCAGTATGAATTATATTTTCCAGTAATAACTTTTTAGTTTCTCATTAGCACCAAACAAAGCTGTTTAATGCCCAACTGATGATTTACTGCACTTTAAATCAACCTTGCTAGTTTGAACATAACACTTCATGCCTCTCTTGCAAATTCAAGTTTGTGGTTGGGTTTAAATATGTAATACCAACTGTGAATAATCTGTTGGAATGTTTTAAACAGGAGGGAGGCTGTTTACTACTGAACAGAACCCGAGTCATAACCTTATTTCAGTTAAGTCACTGCTTTTATTAAAAAACTTCTGGACTCTCTTCTGCCTGCAAAGCTCTTAGTCTCTTTCCATCACCCAGCCCAGCAGTGGGCCCTGAATACACCAGCAGGAAAAAGAAACACACAAAGGATTTGTCAAGGTTTGCTACAGAGACTGGCGTAAGGAATTACCGTCTTTGACTGGGAGATCCTCTTGCTGTCCTGTCCTTCCATCTAAGA